GCGTGGCCGGCGGGCTGCGGGCGGGCGGCGGCAGCCGCTCGGCCTCGCCGGGCGCAGCCTTCCCCCCGTCGGCCTCATCCCCATCGGGCACTACCGACTCGCCGGCCTCGCTGACGGCGGGGAGAGGGTCTGCGCCGGCCTCGCTGCCCGGGATCGGCTCCATCTCGGGCTCGGCCTCGCCGGCCCCCCCATCGCCCGGCACCGCTGCAGTCGCCGCCGCCTCCGCAGCCATGGCCGCCATTTTCTCTGCTGCTTCACCGCCGCCTCCCTCCAGCAGCGGGATCGATAACCGCGGCCTTCCCCGCCCGCCTGGCAGGCAGGGTCCGCCCCCTAGCGCCGCATCTGGCGCGCTATTGGCGAGCGCGGCGCAATTCTCTGCTGCTAATGGCGCGCGGCGACGTCCGTCAAGCACAGCGGGAACTTCCCGTTGGCCAGCGGGGACTTCATTCAATGCAGAGCCGGGAAGAGGAAGAAGGGGTGTGGCCTAGRGCTCCGCACGCCGTTGCGGAGCGAAGGGGCGGGGCCTGCGCGGCTGTTCTGCCGTCCCATTGGCCGAGGGAGGAGCCGCTCGGCTAAACGGCCGCTAATTGGCAGGGGTCGCGTTCTGTCAGGGGGCGCGAGGCGGGCGCCGCGCGGGGGTGGGCATGCGCTCTGGGGGCGGCGGGATGGCGGGGCAGGGGGCGGCGGGGGGTGTCGGGCTCGTCGTCAGCCCGCGGGGTGGGCGCCTCCCTCCGCGCTGCACCGCGCCCGTCGAGCAGCACCGTTACCGTTAACGCTGCCGTTAGCGCGCGGCCTGTGGGCGGAGCGCGCCCGGCGTCCTGGGGGCGACCAGGCCCGTTTGGGGGAGACCAGGCCCGTTCGCGGGGCGCGGGACGTGCGAGGAAACGGGGCCGTGGCGCCTGGCGGAGCGTGCGGGGCACGTGGAGCGCGCGGCTGCCCCCGCTGGGTGCGCGGGGTGAAGGCGAGAGATCCGGGGGCAGAAGGAGAAACGGCGTTTCCCCGCGAGGTGCCCCAAAACGGCGCTTTGTCCCCGTGGGTTCAGCAGCTCCTGCTGCGCTGGGTGTTATTTCCCACCCAGCTGGGATATCTTGATTTTACCAAGGGAAAAGGCAATGGCTTAGGACTTTATATATATGAATATACTCTTTTCCTGAAGCTCACATGCTTGGAGGAAGGAAGAAAGTGTTTAAAAAACAGAAGGCAGAAATGAGAAAAATGAGTTGGACAACTAGGGAGAGAAAGGGGGTGAAAGTGGGTCTTAAGGCATGGGTGGTTTTGTTCTTCYCTGTGCCATTACAAGAGATAGGCTGTTTGGCTGCAGTTGAAACTTGCTGAAAGGTAATAAACCAASTCTATAAGACTTTTTAAGAAACAAACCCTATTAGTATTTCTTTAAAGGTGGTGATGCTATTTGCAGATTTCAAAGTTACTATCAACTATATGCCAACGGTCACACCCGACATTGCCAGGAAAAAAAAACATACCCTTAATAAAAGCAAAGAACTAATGAAGTTAGAAAAATCCTTGAGCAGATTAATGGCCTGGTAGTATGCTCACCTTTCTCTTCCTTCATGGTAGGAAAGCCAACTTAGATGCAATTAAGGACTATGGTAATGTGAACAATAAACTTCTTAGTGAGAATGATAAATGAGGACTTGGAATAAATGGTCTTCTATAGCAACAAAAAAGCTCCATTTAACTATATAAATAAAACATGACCTTGCAAGCTGCTAGCTATAGGGTTTTAGCAAATAGGAAAGGCAAGGCATGAGGCACACTCTGTTGCACAGAGCTTTGTGTTTTGRCTTGTGTTGCAGACATTGGAGTTTCTCTTCCCTTTTGATAGGATAGCGCTTTAGCTTTCATGATGGACGTAAAGTTTGCATTATCATTGTCATAAAGTATATAAAGAACATAAGGGAATCTCCGGAGGAACAGAGCTAGACACATTCTTTGAGACAAATAAATATGTTAGAAATACAGTCAAGTAAACTTGCTAAGGATAAAAGTACCTTTTTTTTTTCTTTTTTTTTTTTTAAGCGACCATGTTTGTTGAATCAATGTCTTGGTAGCATGAGTGAGAAGCATAAAATGTTTGGTGCAAGAGGGAGGAGTAGAGAGAGAATTACATATTTTTCTTTTTTTTTTTTTTTTTCTAGACATGCTTGCAGCTTCATCAGTCCGTGTCACAGAAAAACAGCAGATGGATTCAGCATATCATCTGTGGCTTAAAAGAAATCAGATTTGGTAAGCTTTTTCCAAAACTACACACCATTAATATTACTGTCTAAATCATTTTGAAACCATTTTGTTAACTATATTTGTAAAAGATCTGTATTCTATATCCTGAAGCCATAATACTTTGAAAGATGGTGACTATACAATTGCCTCCAAAACTGAATGCATTGACAGAATTCTAGAGAACAGTGAGGAGATTTGTGTTGCTGATGAGTTATGTTAATTTCAAGGTTATCCTTGTGCAAAGATCTCGGTGGTTTTGCATCAAATGTGAGGCATTGTTTTTACGAGTCAGAATTGTCTTGAATATCCTGCTAAGGAAAAGGCAACGGTGTCTCCAGAAGGTATTCAGAAATTCTGAGTGATTCAAACAGTTCTCATCTCGAAGGAGCCTGCTGTAAAATAAGTGATCATAGGACCGGAGAAAGGACTCTGCTRTTCTTTTCTGACTTATTTTTATTCAGTGCAACTCTGACAATGGATTACCTGCATCTAGAAATACAGAAATACAGATTTTGCTTTCTGGGGACTTTTCTGGGGACTTTTTACGTTACTCAGTTGAGTCTCAGGACAGTTAGTGAGGATAACTTACATGTCACAGCAGAGCTGTTTTTACATTGGACTCTACTCACAAAGAATACTTGGAGATGCTCCAACCATGTTTTAACAGCAAACCAAATCTTAYTCTGCATGCAAATCCCAACCCCTCACTGTTAGCAGTGTGTTTCTTGGTGTGTATTAGGAGTTTCTTTGTTCATCTCAAATCTGCTATTGAACAGAAAAGGCACTAGGTTAGCTAGAAGGGTGAGCAGGGTACAATTATATGTATTGTCATTTACTCTATCTTGCTTTTACTCAGGAAAGGCAATACCATATTTCCAAAGTTTACAAGCACAAGCACTGCAGGTATGAATAAACCTTGAAAAAGTTTGCAAAGCCCAAAGCTGCAGGACAGCTTTGCAGGGGACTGCAAAGTAGGATACAAATCTCTCGTGATCCTTACTATGAAACGGCATGACTTGTATTAGATACTTTGTACCTCTGTGATTCTAATTGTGCTGGCTGGTCAGTTCACTTAGCCACAGTTCATTTCTCCAGTCCTGCCATGGGGTGGTATAGAAGGAGGCAGTAAATTCTGAGCCTACAAGAAATTACCAACTAATACAAAGAGACTGCTTAGCCCTTGAGCTGTTGGGACATTGAGATCCAATAGCTCAGCCGAACAGGCTTTTTGTTATGCTAAATTCAGACTTTTCTGAAAGATGGGCGTAAAATGGAAGATTTCCTCTTCCAAAACTGCAGTGAGATTAATGCATGCTGAAATCCACTCAGCTTTTCAGCAGGTGTTGCTTATGGCAGACAGTACCCATTAAAATGCTAACTGTCATCTTTTACGTCCCTTGGAGTCCCCAGCAGACCTTATGCTAAGCAAGAGAGACAAACCTGCTTGTGTGGCTTGTTAACACTTCACTTAAATTGTTTCATTGTAGTAACTGAGGAGATAATGTGTTTCACCCAATCGCTTTAAAATACCAAGGAGGGGGAGTTTCTTAAAAACAGAATGTAAGCAGCTTTGTTACAGTATCATTTACGTGTTGAAAGATGTTATAGGTGCTGTTTAAAAAAAGATAAGAATAGTGTTTAAATATCTTTATTTAAAAATAAAGATTTATTTTGGATGTTGTCTAATGACAATTGTCTAATGTCCATGAGAAACGTGATATGATGGCTTACTTTTAAATGGGAGTACGTAAACAATAGGTATGTTGATAAAGAATAAAACTTGTTCACTGTATAAAAAGTGCTTGATACATAATTTTTCCCATCTCAAAGTCCTTCMATTATGCCGTAATTTCTGTTTATTTAAATGTGGCCTATAATCTCTTTGGGATAGGATTTGACTTTCCATGGTTGGTTTGCATAGTTACGGCCTTGTTTCTATACTGGAACCTTTAGAATCTGCCAAAATAAAATGAATGATGTTAATGAAACAAATTGCACTTGCACACTCTTTCTGTAAATTAAAATGAGCTTGCGTGTTCAGCAATAGGCAGAAAGGATAAAAGTAGAAAAGAAAAAAAAAAAGAAAATGTGAATTTGAGGGAGAGGAACTGATGATAAATTTTTACACGAGGAGAAGAGAGCGAATGTCAATTTGGCATAAGAATAAATACAGCTGGAGGAGATTAAARCAACTTGATAAAACTGAAAGCAGGAGAAATGCAAAGCTGTATGAAGATGTTTAGCAGCCTGTTAGCAGAAGTAGTAAAATTGAAYAGAGTGAGTGAACGGATGTGATGTGGTTGAGTGGTGCCTGTAAGAAGCAGATATGATTGTATCTCTATATGTGTCTATACGTGAGTGAAAGGTTTTTTTCTGTGTGTGTAAGCTGGGACATGACAAAGATCAAGTTTGGCAGTTTGCCTGTGTGCCTGTGCCTGGGTACCCAGATACATGCAGGCTTCAATGATGCTGATTTGTATTGTCAYGATGAAACATATCACTGCACTGAACTAATTACAAACAGAAAATCTTGCAGTATGTGAGTAGTTGCAGCATGTATGTATTTTGGTTTATACAAGCACTTTCAGTTAGGATCTGCATAATATAAGAAAATCCATAGTGATAATAACATCATGCTGTGGGCATGAAGTTCTGTAGAAGTGCACAACCATGAAAGAGCTAACACCAGATGCAAGCATGTCTACACTGTAAGGTAGTACATACAATACAAACAAACAATGTATAATCAAGTTACAGGGAAGCTGAAGTGGATGATTATAGCGTATGTAGAAATACTAAGCTTCCTTTAAACTAATTTAGCTGCCAGTAACAGTGAAACGGTGATAGCAGACTCCAGCATGGGTTGCACCAGAGGCATGGCCTGGTAGCTGGAATCTGTTTTGTTACTGGTATCCAAGCCAGCTGAGTATATCTGTTTTCTGTGTCTGTTCATTCTGCAGTCCATTTGACTTGTGTAGGCATTCACAAACCCTAAGCAATTGTGTGCATTTATAGGGAATGTTTACGAGGAATAACTGATAGCATCTCGGCAGGATAGTAGATTTTTTTTTTTTTTTTTTTTTTTTTTTTTTTTTTTTTCCTTCCCACTGGGCTATCAGGATTTGAGGTTAGGAGGTTTTTGATTTGAAGCTCTAGAGTCTCTTGCTGAGACCCTGACCACATATGTTAAAAGGAATTATATTTTACGTACACCCATAGCCCCTAGTTCTTGCTGGTCTTTTGCCAGGAACATTGAGAAATAGTTCACTGCAGGAAACACCACACTTATTTATTTCTCTCTATCTGGATTAGAGTGGCAATAGCTTCCTGTGACTCCCATAGTGACAATAATTTCCTGTGACTCTGAGAAAAGTCTATCTCAAAAGAGCCTCCCATGAATTGTGGTTTAGAGACCACAGTTTTTTGAWGTGTTAAGAAATTCATTTTTAACATTATTCAGATTTTAGATTAGAAAATTAACCTTATTCTATGTTGTCTCATATTTTAGGGTCAAAAACTTTTCTGGTTTGGGATGCATATATTACAACTTTCCTTTTAATAAAAAAAAACTTTATTATTTAAGTGTCAATAAAAATAAATAAATTAAAGATGCCTTTGAAACTAGGTCTACAAAAATAGTTGTTATTAGATGCTAATGTGATTGGCTCTGACTTATTCTTTGTAGATCAAGTTCTCATCTTTTTCCTGCACATACATGCTAGTCCTCTTCCATGAATAGGTACCATTGCCATGAAACGTTGTGGAATGGAAGGAATTCATTCCCCTGTGTGATTTGTGTAGAGCCCAACTAGATTAAACAATTTTACTGAAGCTTGGAGGCTCAGCAAAGCAAAATTAATCTAGGAGGTAGCCAAGACATCAAAGAGCAGGGATGGTGGAGCATCGTTTTCACAAATGCTGTCAGGGTAATGTAGCCTTTGCCGCGCCTCACTGTAGCTACAGGCAGTGCTCCCCTCAGCTGCCTCTCTGTGTGTGTGTGTGTGTGTGTGTGTGTGTGTGTGTCAGACGTGGAGCACTCCAGTTTCTTCTTGCCGAAGCCACAAACCTCCTGATGGGTGATAGCCCATCCAGCCACCTCTGCAGCAAGCAGGGCAGGCAGGGGAGTGCTCCTTACGTTCCCCTGCTCTGACAGACCAGCTGGATTCACTCTGCAAGACTCCAGTTGGTTAGGGGAATTTTGCACAGAGGCAGATATTTACAAAATATAATTTAGGTGCCAAAATTAAATGCCTGGTTCAGAAGTTCAGTGCAGTCAGCAGAGAAAGGAAGGGCTCTCCAGCCAGTGATTCAGAAAAGAGTGCTAAACTAGCTCTGCAGTAGGCTCCTCAGAAGAACATTTCTCAGTCGTCTACGCAGTTACGCTAGCTTTCGAACTTGAACATCTAAATCGTGATCATCACCTCTACTGCCATATTTTCTGAGGGAAGGAAAGGTTAACAGCTGTCTGTTTGGGAAATGAGTGACCAACCTGTTGAGTTATCTGTCTGCATCTGTCTTAATCTGTGAGCCGAGACCACATATTTTTGAAAGGGAAAAAGGCCTTAGGCTCTCAGATTTATTTTGTAGCTAAAATGSTACTTACTTTGTTTTTCAGGACTTGCAGTGGAATGTAATACAATTTCAGACTCTGTTCAGGGATGAAATTAATCAAATGGATTCTTTAAACAAACTCAGGTATTACTTGCACAAGTGTTCTTCCTCAGCAAATTTTGATTAATTTTCCTCTATAGTTTTAGGAAGTTGATTTGTTCATTTTCTGTTCTAAAACAATGTGTTTTGCATTTCCTGTGTTTTTCAAAGAACATTTGCAAAGAGCAGAACTTAAGCTGGTGTATTCTCCTTGGGTGATTCCCTTCGAATCAAGAGCAGCACACAAAGGGCCTCTGCTACTGAATTTAAGATCTAGGGGAATTAAAAACAGGCTCCCTTCAGATGTTAAATTCTTTTTCTTTCCCTCCTCTGCCTACTTTAAGAGCTCACTGTCT